TGCTTCAGCTGTCTCCACATCTGGGAGAAGACTGGCCAAGGAATCCAGCACTGGTGGAAGCCAGTGGATGATGCAGCTCAGTGGTTTAATGCTCCCTGAGTCTTCCAAGAAGCTTCCTTGAACCCGCACCTTTTCTAGATGTTGTATGCTTTGCCTATCTCTGTGGCACAGTTTCCATGAAGAACACTTAAACACATCTGGGACTTTTAGAGATCTTTGACAAAGAATGGTGAAGACATAAAGCGCACACGATGGTAAGTTCTTAAATCTATTTTCTGTGACAACCTAATCTGAATCCTAACATGGTAAACTAATGAATTAATACTATCTGACTTGAGGAATGGGAAGACTTCCTTCAGTCACTTCCCTCCCCATTAAAATATTGCCTAGACCATAGAGCTTATTTCTTATTTCTTTGCCTACCCACTCTCTTTTCTCCTTGATTTTTTTTCTCGCATTTGGGGTGATAATCCAGGATGCTTGATTTTCCAGGTAGGCAGGTCCTCACATTGAATAATCACAATCTAAGAGAAGTGAAGTCTAAGTCTCCAAACTGAATCATTGTAGTTGCCTCCTCTGTAGATGCCTCCATGCATCATCCTTTTGGGCTGATTTTCTTGCTAGAACCTTCTGCACTCACCCGGCTTGGCCAAGCCATCAATCCCTCTTCTGGGGACTGTCATGGAAGCTGACATAAAAGTAAAGGAAGCCCTGGTTTTGGTGAGTTTCTAGTCTAGTCCTGTGTAGCCATAGTCCAGTCTAGGAAAAGGGTTTAATATTTAATTAGCAAAAGGGCAAGTTCAAATAGAATATTCTTATGCTAGAAATGGAATAAGCATACACTGAAGGAACTGAGAAACAAGGAGCAACGCTGCGCTGTGTGAGTTAAATTACATGGTTTCCTGGAGGAGGTGAGAGTGAAATACACAGGCACCAGGGAGGCTGAGAGGACATCCTAGATGGAAGGTATGGTTCACACGAAGCCATGCATGTTGAAACAACAGCTTCTGGGCAGAGGAAGCCAAGCTATTCAATTTAGCTAGAGCCAGGTTTTCATGTAAAGGGTAAAAAGAAAAGAGTTTATGACCTGAGCAAAGCAGCTGACCAGGTAGCCTTAGACAAGTAACTATCCCTCTGGACCTCAGCAGCTTCAACCAGGAAATGAGTGGGTTAGTTGACTAGGGCACTGGGCGAAGGTCTCCATCAGAGGTGAAGAGAGTTAATAATTATGGGAGCAGTGTGTCAGGCACTCCAAACTCTCCTAAAAGATAGTCTTGTCCATCCCCATTTCAGAGACGAAGTATCTCATCCCGAGTTTCGTAGACTGTGAGTGACCAAGCTGGGACGAGGGTTGAGTCAATTTCTTCATTCACTATGAATGGACAGCTTCCATTTACCAAGAACCGTGCCAGGCCCTGGGGGAGATAACAGTGAATGGCACAGATAGGGTCCCGCTTTTGTTCTACTTGGGGTGTGGGGGAGGACAGTCAATAAAAAAGTGAAAATCCAAGTGAATAAAATAGGTTTAAGTAGAAGTACATGCTATGGAGAAAATAAAACATGGAATCATGGTCATGATTTGGGACTTCTTAGGTTGGGTGGCCCAGGAAGGCCTCTCTGAGGAGGTGGCAAACTTGGGTGGAGACTGGAAGGGCGGGAAGAGGTCTGCCTAGTTGGCAAAGGGCATAACTGGCCAAGCTGAGGTATTTAGATTTGGCAGCATGGTGAGGCCTCCAGTCTTTCTTTTGGAGAAGGAGTTGCTTTTTATTTCTCAAAGATCTTAAGATGGTGGAGGACAGGCGGAAGCAAGCGGGTTGCAGCAGCAGAGTCCTAATATGGAAGTGGGGTGGCCAACGTGACCTTGGAAATTTAGGAGCAGTGCTGGGAGACGTTGCTCCCATTCACTTCCATCCCTTTCCTGTTCGCATCACCAGAAGACTTCTGGTGTTAGCATCACCGGAAGGTGATGCTGGCAGTCATTTTGGAGGGCCAAATAAGGCTTGGTAATAATATTAATATTAATAATAAGAATGGCTAATGAGAACATTAACTATCAGATAACATTTAAGGAACACTTTTTAAAAGACTTATTTATTTTAGAGAGAGAAAGTGCATGAACGGAGGGAGGGGCAGAGGGAGAGAGAGAGGGGAAGCCAACTTCTGCTGAGCGCGGAGCCTATGTGGGGCTCAATCCCAGGACCCTGAGTTCATGACCTGAGCTGAAACCAAGAGTCAGATGCTCAGCCAAGTGAGACACCCAGGCACCCCAAGAAACATTTTTTATGTATCAAGCATGTCTGAGCACTTTTTAAGCATTAACTTATTTAATCTTTGTAGTAACTATAGGAGATGGGTAGTATTATTATCCTAATTGTAATGAAGAAGCCGAGGCTTAGGGAGGTACAGTCACTTCCCCAAGATTGCACAACTGAGATGGGTGGAGCAAGGATGCTCATCTGGGGCCTCTGAGCCTAGGCTCTCGATTCTCATGCAATGTTGCCTCCCCTAGGTTTCAAACAGTCATGTAATATTTGATCTGGAAGTGATCTTAGATATCATATAGACCAGAAATTTCTAATTCGGTCCTCTGAGAGAAGATCTCTGATTTAGGACAATCCCTCCTCTTTTGACAGATGAGAAAAATTAAGAGTCAGAGAATCAGATTAATGATGGAAACGGAGGGTTGATGCTGAGTTCTGACTTCTGCTTGAATGCTTTTTGTAATCTACTTCAGCATATCCCTAGATACTCAAATCCTGGTTAGGAACCCCTGGCAGAATTGATTGCACAGAATTACATCCTCCAGGAGGGGAGAGACAAGCATGAAATAAGATAATGCACATAAAATTCTTCGTGTGGGGCTCAGCACAGAGTAAGTGCTCAATGCGTGTCCGTGCCTTTGAGAAAGTCCACATGGCAGGTTTCTGGGCCCAGTGGTGAGAACAGCTGGGCCATGACTGGGGAAGGAGAAGCAAGACACAAGGTGGAGAAGGGCTCCCTCTCCATGAGCCTGCCATCTTGACCGACATGCCACAGTCCTTACCAAACCCCATCCACCACCGTGAAAGTAAAGTATCTTTGGAAACCTCATAACCCATCATTAAAACTGCTGGGTGTAGGAAAATAATTGTTTGCCCTAAATAAGTGACTTATGATTGCCCTTGGTTTGTTGGAGTTTTCCTTTAATTATAGGCATAAACACCCATCTCCTTCTCACTCATGTAATGAGTTTCAGCCTTGTGCACCTCAGTTAAAGAGGGGCCCAGGAGAATTATGGGTAGCTGAGCAGTCTTCCTGTTCCAAGTTGCCACGGGGCTCTTGGAAGAGTGGGTCCTTTATGGGGAGAAGATAATGGGCAAAAAGTGCTCTTGATTGATAGACCAGTCACAGCATTCTCTTTCCTATAATAATAGAGTTGTTCACTAGAGCCATTCATTAAAAAAATTCCAAATTTCTTCCACACCACCCCACTTGGTGCTTCAAATCATTGCATATGCCCCTGTCCTGTCCGCTGTTCTTGCAAACTCAGCGTGGAGCCTTTTGGTTCTGGGAAGACTTTCTAGGTTATTAGGAGAGACTAGGAAAACCTTCCTTCCTCTACTTGTATTTCTTCCGTGTCAGAAGAGAGAAGTGGATTTTATGGAGAGGTACAGAGTGTCTTGGGGACCAGTGCCTGAAACAGGGCTCCTCAGAACTAGATGGGAATTCATGGCTTGATGGTTTTGTCCCCACCTGTCCACACTCCGCCTTCCCCTCCAGTGCCCTACATGACACCTGGTCAAGGGTTGGATGAGAGAAACTGTTGCAGGAAGTACTGGTAGTTTTCCCTGTTGCCCACCAGTCCCGCAGCACCTCCCCGGCAGGAGGACAACCACTTTCTCCACATGCTCTCCAGGCATTGGTGCTGCTCCAGTGGTTGTCTTTCCTTCCCCAAGCCCTGGGTGATAGCAGTTGCCCATTGGGTGGTGTAAGTACTCCCACTGGGACCTGTTTCAAGCTCCCGTTGTGATGTCCCTGAATGGGGAGGGACTGACTGCCCAAATCCCTGAAAATTTAACGCTCTGTACCAGCCACTCAGCACACCACTGCCCCAGGGCAGACGGTGGGCCTACAGGGCCCTGGGTTTGAGAAGCGTTCTCCATCTTCCAGGGAATTTGCCCTTCTAACGACAGGACATTTTACAGGGACAGTTCTTGGTTCCGGGTCTTTTAGGGGACACGGTAATGAAGAAACAGCAGGGATGTTGCGGGGGGGGGGGGGGGGGTGGGTGAGGGGGGCCTGGGAGAGGGGGGTCAGTGGGGAGTCTTCATTCCCAACTCCTGACCCTGACTGCTTTGAGAGAAAGGCTTGGACCCAGGGAGCAGACAGATGTCGGTCGGGGCAGGAGTAACTGATGTGTGGGGGCACTGGGGCATAAAGCTTGGGCAAAATGCGAACCGAGTCACTAAGCGCTGGTTTCTCTAGCCAGCCCACGCCTCCTGCCTCAGCTCAACGCCACTCCCTCCCCGCCAAGTGGCTCTCGGTTCAGGAGGCGGGACCGAGTTCTCTGGTGGCCCCTGGAGGCTCGGGGCTGCAAGCTTTGGGAGGCTGGAAGGGGAGAGAGGGAGGGGCGCTGACTGGGCAGTCCAAAGAGGAGGGGGCCTTTAATAGGCTCGCCCAGCGCCTGGTTTGCGGCGCCGCGAGTGGCAGCGGTTCGAAGAAACGGCCCGAAACCTGCCTCTCGCTCTCGGCTGCAAATCTCCGTCCTTGCACTTGACAGCGATTGTACTTAAGCTCCCAGGGCGCGCTTTGCTTGGAAAGGCACAGGTAGGAGGCGCGGGCTGCTCGGTGCACGCTCACCGCTTTGGGAGGAGTCTCCCTCCCTTTGCTCTGCTTTCTGGGAGCTACGGACTGCCCCGGAGCGTTGGTGGTTCCCGTGCGCCTGCTGCAAGGAGACGCGCCGGCTGCCGGGAAGCCGGGCCGAGCCCTTCCGAGACCGCGGCAGTGCGCTGCCCGGCGCCATGCTTCTGCTGGGTATCTTAACGCTGGCTCTCGCCGGGGGACCGGCTGGAGGGTCAGAGCCAGATCAGGAGGTGGTGGTCCCCATCCGACTGGACCCGGACATCAACGGCCGCCACTACTACCGGAGGGGTCCCGAAGACTCCGGGGATCAGGGACTCATTTTTCAGATCACAGCATTTCAGGAGGACTTTTACCTACACCTGACTCTGGATGCTCAGTTCCTAGCGCCCGCCTTCGCCACTGAGCATCTGGGCGTCCGCCTCCCGGAACTCACCGGGAGCTCTCCAGACTTGCGACGTTGCTTCTACTCTGGGGACGTGAACGCCGAGCCAGATTCTTTCGCCGCTATGAGCCTGTGCGGAGGTCTACGCGGAGCTTTTGGCTACAGAGGCGCCGAGTATGTCATTAGTCCGCTCCCCAACGCCAGCGCGCAGGCAGCACAGCGCAACAGCCAGGGCGCACACCTCCTCCAGCGCCGCGGCGTCCCCGGCGGGCCTCCCGGAGATCCCACCTCTCGCTGCGGGGTGGCCTCAGGCTGGAACCCCGCCATACTGCGGGCGCTGGACCCTTACAAGCCGCGGGGGACCGGCTTGGGAGAGAGTCGCAGTCGGCGGAGGTCCGGGCGCGCCAAGCGCTTCGTGTCGATCCCGCGGTACGTGGAGACACTGGTGGTGGCGGACGAGTCAATGGTCAAGTTCCACGGCGCGGACCTGGAGCATTATCTGCTGACGCTGCTGGCCACGGCGGCACGACTCTACCGCCATCCTAGCATCCTCAACCCCATCAACATCGTCGTGGTCAAGGTGCTGCTTCTCGGAGACCGCGACACAGGGCCCAAGGTCACGGGCAACGCGGCCTTGACGCTGCGCAACTTCTGCGCCTGGCAGAAGAAGCTGAATAAAGTGAGTGACAAACACCCAGAGTACTGGGACACGGCCATCCTCTTCACCAGGCAGGTGAGTTGATCTGTCACCTCTTTGGACCCCAATAGCCCCATTTTCTTAGGGTCACCGCCCTTAGCTCTCCAAATGCCCTTTGTGCCAAACAAGTGACCCCAGGTTAAAATTCTGTTGATCTCTTCCGACTCCCACTTTGGATCTTCCAGGGACAGGCGGTTCCTGAGCTCCGTGGAGCTTCGGCTCCAGTGCATCTGGATGCACGTGGGCGGCCGGAGGAGCGCCCGCTACTTCAGAAGGTGTTGGCCCGGCGTGGCCAATCAGCGCCTCCTCGATCAGGCGCCGAGGGGCCGGAACCCAGGAAGTTGCCGCCCCGGAGCCGCAGTGTGTCTCCGCGGCAGATAGGAGGCGCTCTGAGGATGGTGTTGGAGGGGTCGGGAAAGGTCCGCCCCTTTTCAACCCGGGCGTCTAAATCCTTTCAGATATCTCTTCGCAGGCTTCTCTTCTCTTCTTGTAAAACTGGAAGAGTGATGCAAGCATCCCAGTTCAGAGCCTGGCTTCATTTCCTCTGGGCATGTTCAGTTATCCTCTGTCCTGGGCCTGGAAAACCTGGATTGGGATGGAGGGAATCATTTGGGATATTTTGTGGTTGAAATGGAAAGGACAGACTCAAGTACCGGGAGCATTCCGTCCTTTGTTGCTGCTTCTCCCGTACCCTCCTGTGCTGGCCCGCCTTTTACCTGAGGGGATTCCAGTCCATTCAGAGCAGGCAATCTAGTTAGGGCACCTGTTTGGAGTTGGAGTTTCTAGTGGAGTTTCACTTGGAGCAGAGTTGGGGAAAATCTCTCAATTTTCCCATTTCCTTGTTGGTCCAGGGTGACCCGTTTGCCCTGATGTGTGCTGTGGAGCAGAACAGGCAAGGTTGCTCGTAACACCGACTCACTGAAACTTCCAATGACCACACTTAACGGTAGTGCTCCAGCTTCTGTCCCTGGCGGTGTGCAAGTGGTGTGAGCTTGGTAAAGAGCATCCGGAGACCCCAGGTGCAGGATTGGAAAGATACTGAGTATGGGGCTTAGAAAGATGGTCAGATCACAGAAGCAGCTCTGCCTTTTGCTATGGGTCTGTGAACATTTACATTCCTAGATATTGGAGTGATTGGGTACTGTGAAGTTTTTGGATTCCTGTAATTTCTCAGATTCATGGATGGGGCTGGGAGGAAGACGGGCATCCAAGTGACCTGGTTCCTCTGATTTTAGGGGCTGCAGCTCGAATCTGTGCCATGCTCTTGTTTTGTTATGATCACAACCACGTCATTCTGGGGATGGCCTAGAATCCTTGGTTGCCTGTGGGGCTCTCACTCCCCACTCTTTCCAAAGGCCACTCAGAGCTGTGCTGGCACACATGGGGCTGGAGCTAACGTCTTCCACACTAACCCATTTGGCACCGCTTGTCCCCTCCTGGAATTGAACTTCCTCCTTTCCCAGCCTTCTCCTCCCACCACCTGGTTTCTCTAGGGAGGTCTTTGGCCTGAGTCTGTTTCCTTGCACTCATTCTTCCAACTGAGGTCTGTAGAGCTGCCACTGCCCCTACACACACTGCTTGAGTCATGGGGAAACTGCAGAGGAGGTGGCTTCCACCTCTGCACACAGACCAACTCGGCAGTCAGATTGCCGGGGGGAAAAAAAAAAGCAAAGGCCAAGAACAGGATATCTTAATGGGCAAAGCAGCTGTTGGCCCATCTGCTACCTGGGATGCCCCTGTGGAGGTCACTCTCGGCTTCTAAAGTAACAGACCTCAGTCTCCGCCGCTTAGTGGCTAGGCTGACTTTTGGAACCAGCCCTAGGAAGAGGACTCCTGCTGGGAATATGGGCCACACCACCAGAAGGATTCACCTTTTGAAGAAGCAGCAATCAAGCAGCGTGACAACTTCTGTCTGTCAGTGGTGTGTGCGAGACCCGGGGGCTACGTTAACCGTGCATAATGGGGACAAGATGCACGAGCACTTGGGTCAGAAGGAGTGATGTGCAAGATGCGACTTTTAGAAGTTATCTTTCTCTTAGGCGTCTAGAGGGCGAAGCTGGAAAGTGGGGAGGCTGTGTTGGCAGGACCGATACCCAGGTATGTGCTTAGTGCTTTAGAGTGAACATCTCTCTCTCGTCTCCTTGCTGTCGCAGACTTTAGGGCCTGCTGCATTCTCAGGGTCTTAGGAACTACTCATTCCTGAACTGCCCTGGGGAAGGTACAGTACGTGATGAGAACAGAGCACGCAGCTGCTCTTTGTAGACCAAGGCAGATGCGGTCTCCGGGAACCAGGAGTCTCCTGCTGTCCTCCAACACAAGAGGAACTTCTGTAGTACTTTGTAAGGGTTAGTAATACTCCTTTAACTCAAACATGAGCTTCCCTGATTATTATAATGTTGGTGTAATCACTGCTTTTTCAAACTAAAATTGGAATATGTATATCTATATAAATATACATATTGATTTCTATGAAGATGACATTGATCCTTGAACAGCATAGGTTGAACTGCATGGGTCCACTTGTATGTGGACTTTTTCTGATACCGTACAGTACTCTAAACGTATTTTCTCTTTTGATTTTCTTAATAACATTTTATTTTCTCTAGCTTACTTTATTGTAAGAACACAGTATATAGTACATACAGCATACAAAATATGTGTTAATCTGGGGCGCCTGGGTGGCTCAGTCGTTAGGCGTCTGTCTTCGGCTCAGGTCAGGGTCCCAGGGTCCTGGGATCGAGCCCCGCACCGGGCTCCCTGCTCTGCGGGAAGCCTGCTTCTCCCTCTCCCACTCCCCCTGCTTGTGTTCCCTCTCTCGCTATGTCTCTATCTGTCAAATAAATAAATAAATAAAATCTTTAAAAAAATATGCGTTCATCGACTGTTATCGGTAAGGCTTCCGGTCAACAGTAGAGTATTTGTAGTTTAAGTTTTTGGGGAGTCAGAAGTTGTATGTGGATTTTCGACCGCATGGGGTTCAGTGCCCCTAACCCTCATGTTGTTCAAGGGTCAATTGTATATAGTTTGTTTGGATAAGAAGTTTTCAGAAATGTGCTTATTTTGTTAATCACCTTTTGTCTGTAATGGATCTTGAACTGTCAGACATCTTAGGGTCACCTATTCCTTGGTCCCCCCAGAAAATTCTGAGAAATGGCTAGTTACTCTGACTGATGGTACTCTAGCTGTGGTTTTCACAGGGAGGAAGCGGGAAAGGGTTGGGCTTGGTCAGACTGTATTTCCTCCTGTGAGGAAGAGGTGAGCGCAGCTTCTGGAGAGTTCCAGGTGCCGGGTACCTGAAGGGGGGTGGCGTAGGAGGATCAGGACTGGCAGGCACCGGAGCTTCCCCTTCGGGCCCACCATCAGAGTTGTTGTGTGTTTAAACAAGGCTGGGCCAGGCTATGGGGAGACACTGCTGTCCTCTTGGCAGGCAGAGGGAGGGGCGTGGGGCGTTGAAATCAAAACACTGGGAAGACGTGACCCAGGGAGGAGCCTTTGCTGTGTGCAAAGGAGAAAAAAAGAAAAAGATCAGACAACAAGCATCTTGACAACTTGAGGAGTTTACTTAAAGATTCAGAGTAAGTTCATGTTCCTGGAGAAGGAGCACACATCTGATTTTGCAAAGCAATCAGTCTCTAGACTCATAACAGCAGGGTGAGGTCAGCACGGGACTGGAACCAGGATCTGCGGAGAATTAGAGCCAGTCTTTCTGGGTGGACATTCATTTCTATGAGAAGAAACGTTTCTATGGCTTCTTGTTGCCGTTGGCAGCAGGAGCGGGATTTGGTGCTGGGACGTAGTAGGAGTCCCAGCTAAGCCTGAGCTGTCTTCTCTCTCTTTACCTCTGATGCCTCTGCTATCTGGGTAACTTTGTGGTAGACCTGGTTTCATGAATTTGTTCTACATTTTAAAAATACTTATCGAGCATCTGTTATTTCCAGGTACCGTCCTGGGTTGTGGAGGTACAGATATTAAGATGTGGCTCCTGGCTTTCGGGAATTCACCGAGTATCAGGGAGCCTGACAAGGAAATAGCTCGTTACACTAGGGTGTGTTAAGGGCCATGAGGGAGACATGGGCCCTCTGTCCAAAGTCCAGTGGGAGGCATTCTCCTTGCTTCGGAGCCAGGGAAGCCTTCCGGGATGGGGTGGGGGAGGAGGGACGAGGGGCAGGTGGCAAGGAGGCACTGGGATGGGAGCTGGTGGCGATGGGAAAGGAAGCTTGTTTCCTGTGTTGCAGGAGCCTCTCTCCTCCATTCCACCATCTGTTTTGCTATTTGTAACATTTTCCCCTTTGAACGGACTTGGTCTTGTAGGATTTACAGTTTGTGGTTTTTCTGCCGGCTTATTCCTTCATTTATGTTGTTTATTCTGTTGCGCTTAGTACCCCCGTGTGCCGTTCCCTCGTCCCCTCCTTCCCTCACCGTTTCTTCCTGTGCTCTCTTTCTCCTCTTTAGAGATTCTCCAGGGCAGGCTCCTTGTCATCTTTCTCCTCTCTTTTGTTTCCTTCATTCATGTCTTCACCCTTTCTGCCTCTCAGTCCCAAGCTTGGCCCTTACCTTGTTGTTTTGGTCTTGAGCTGTACTACATTTTGTGTGTGTGTGTGTGTGTGTGTGTGTGTGTGTGTGTGTGTGTGTGTGCGGGGAGCATACATGTATCCCATACTGTGCAGAGTGGAACAGCACTCTGGAACCTCATTTGAAATAGAGGCCAGTTCTTTCTATAATAAACAACTTGCCATATGGCAGTGAAATTTAGTGTTCAATAAAAAAAGGTTAATAAAATGATAATATGTATTTTATACATATCTCCTAATACAATAAAGAGAATCGTCATTTTGTCAGGGTCTTTTTTGAAGTCAGGCCTTGGACGATATTAGCAGAGAGGGGCATCTGTAATTTCGGTATTTAAGAGTTTGTAAATTTTTATCACCGAATGGAAACTCAACTCTACTTCTAGGAGGGAGAAGGTTGGGAGGAGAAAGAGAGAGGAAGGGTTGGAATGCAGTTCCTCCCTGACTTGGAAGGTGGTTGCTCTTCTC